GCCATGAGGAGAGAATCCAGACAAGGGTTGAGGGCTGAGTAACCGCCCACTAAACCTCTCATGCTGCTGCATTTTCCCCCAAATTGACCATCTGATTTGGGAAGTCTGTTCACAGTGAGGCCGTTAAACAGAAGTAATACGTAAGAGAATGTGCTCAGAAGCCATTGATCGTCTACCTAAGATAGACCATGGATGAACCGTGTGCGTGATTTATTTAAATTTTTTCTGTAATTTTGCAAACTTTACTTTTTTTTTTCTTTAAATGACAGGTCATTTTTGTATTTTCTTTTTTAGATGTGAATAAGATGTCTGTGAATATCTCAAACTGTAAGATTATTTGTGAAATATTCGATGCCCTAAAAGGAGAATTAAATTCTGTGTATCTATCTCAACTTCACTTTCTGTGTTTCTTCCTGTGGATTTGGTATTAATTTGGGACTAGCACGATGACTTTTCCCCTCATCTCCTCTCCTGCTGGAGTTTGGGATCTGGCCAACCTTTGATATACTCCTTTTCCTTGTATCTAATGCCCAATTTCATACCAGGAACCACAATATTCCACTTTTACTGTCTTATATGCTATGATTCGTGGCTGCCCATAAACTTTTTACAAGTACAAGGTAAAGGATTGATAAGAAAATAACACAAAGCAACTACTTCATTCATTTTTTGCATTCATTAACCTAACTGGACTTGCTGTCTATTGTTTAGGGCTATTCCTAAACAAGTAAGCTCTAAAAGAAATCCCTGCTTTCAAGGCATTAATAGAGCTACAGAAAGAGAACACACACACACACACACACACACACACACACACACACACACACGCTCTTCCTCTCTCTCTGTTTCTCTGCTAGAGTTGGAAAATGAATACTGGAAGAGGGTTAGAAACATACAAAAGAGAAACAAATTGCTTTTCTACCTTAATCTTAATGCATAGGGATGAAGAACTATTGGGATTCAAGAATTAAGAAATGCCCCCTCAACATTTCCTCCATCTCCTGGGCCGTTTTAACTATTTACCATAGGATTGAATTTACCAGTGGATATCTCCAGTTGAATAGCTAGGACTTCAGACTTATCATGTTCAAAAAGATCATTATTTTTTGCTCCTAACGATATCCTCTTCCCCCCCCCCCCCGTCTGCTTGCAAGCCATTCTTCTTAGAGATTGAAATAACCTTCTCTCTCCAGCAATCTCTTTTTCTCTCGTTGCAGTCAATAATATGTCAAATTACAGACTTCCTACTTCCTCCAAGCTCTTCCCCAGATCTGTCTTTTTCATTTTATTGATAGACTCTCAGGCTTGCAATAACATCTGAACTATTTTCTTAAATTTTTATCTCTCCTGACAGCAATAGTCTAATCAATATCCTGCAGGAAGATTGATTTCTGCCTCCTACCCGAGCCGTGGAATTCCTGGCCCACTCAGACTCACTCAGGGGCTGCAAGCTGCAGGTCGAGGTTCCTCCTCCTGGGGTGACACCAGCCCTTAGGGGGCTGGGGACTCCCACAGCATCTCTGACTTTTAGTCACTTGACCTGCGGTGGCCTCACAGCACTCCCTCGTGCCTGCCCGTCACCTTCCGTGTGTTGAGGCTTTGTTTTCCTACTCGGGAAGTTCCATCATCTGCAGCTTCCCCCACTTTAAAGCCCGTGGCTCTTAGGAATTTCCATTTTTATATGAAAGCCTTCCTTGTGTCCTTACACCAAAATAACCCCAAGAGAACTCTCCGGATCTCTCCCGCCAAGTAAAGTCCACAGTCAATCAGAACTAAAGTGGCTTGGCGCACCCTCCTCTCCCCTCTTCTAGAGCCAAATATTTTTTTCCTATTTGTTTTTTAGTTTGTTTGTTTGCTTGGGGGGGCCACACCCTGCAGTGCTCAAGGGTTACTCCTGGCTTTGTACTCAGGAATTTCTCCTGGCAGTGCTCGGGGAAGCAATTGAGGTGCCTGAGGTTGAAGCTGGGTCGGCCAGTGCCCATAAGTGCTCTCCCCACCTGCTCTGGGGTTTGTTTTGTTTGGGTCCACACCTGGTAGTGCTCAGGGCTTACTCCCTGCTCTGCACTCAGGGATCAGTACTTGTGGACCTGGAGGCCTGTGTGGGGTGTCGGGATTGATTCCGCGTTGGCTGCATGAGAGGTCAGGCTCTCCCTGCTCTGCATTCTCTTTCTCTGGTGCCTCTTCACCTTCCTTTACCCATGGCATTGAGAAGTGTGTGTGTGTGTGTGTGTGTGTGTGTGTGTGTGTGTGACCAGCCACGGTTTTCCTCCATGAACTCAAAGGTTCAGTCACTAACAAATGAATTCCTCTAAGCAATTAAATTCTCATTCAGACTCCACAGAGTGATGCTTTTTCCAGCTTGCAAATGACTAACATATTTTAATCTTTCCTAAATTAATGTAAAGTTCAAAACTCAATGGCACTTGCAGAATAAATCACTTCCAGAGCCTTTTTTTTTCTCTCTTGAACCCCTCCTTCTTCACTTCAATTATTTGAGTCCTGATAGTCAGGAGGGGGGAAAACAAAAGCTCATGGCTCAGTCCAGATCTAAAAGCCAAAGGGGCTTAAAAGGAACTGCAGGGGTCTGTTTAGTTAACGCTAGAATTAAGTAACCTTTCTGGAAAAAAGAATGAAAACTTCTTTCCAAGAGGGGGCTCCCCATAATACTACCAATAGAACCGCTTTCTAAGCCGAGATGGTAAATGTTCTAGCAGCAATCAAGTAAGAGAAGGTCACTGCTACATACAGAAAGATTCCCTTGATTCTCACAGAGCACAAAGCATGATGTTGTGCTTATTTAAATCAAGAATTACAAAAACATCAGAAGAAAGAAAAGGAGTCCATTTATCTAAAAGATCATTATTTGGGAATCATCAGCATGCAAAAAACGTAGAGACAACTTGTGAGTTCAGGGCAGTGAACGCCTCAAGAGTCAACTCTGGGGATGAGGTGTGAAGAATTCCGAGCTGGGGAACATATAACACTTCAAAATCAATGTGTTTCCGGTACAAGGGATTAAGAAAAGAACTTAATACATCAGCTCAGGAAATGCTTCATTTCCCGTGTCATATCTCGGAAGGAAAACATAAAGCAGACAGCCAGGTGTCGCCCGGTCATGCCCACAGAGGGGAAACTCCTCCAACCCCAGGGTCCTCCAGGCCCAGCCTGTCCTTTCCCGAGCAATGTGGGGTCATGTCTGCACTGTCGTCTTTGCCCAGATGGGCCAGGACGGAGGCGACGTCCCCAGCAGGGCAGGCTCAAAAGAGTAGAAACTGGTACCAGGTGCCCCCATGCGTCTACCTGCATCCTGCTCCCGGCCCTGTCCTGACCCCGTTCCAGCTTCTGCTCACAGTGACACGTGCTGTGTAGGGGAACAGTGCTGAGGGAACACGGTCCCCACTGCCAGCAAGGCTGGGCCAGCTGCCGTCCAGGGCCTCTGCCCCCTCAGCGGGCTGGTCTGCAGACTCGGGCTTTGTCAGCCCCGAGGTGCTGCTTAGGGTATCAGATTCATGCATCATTCTCGCGGCACTTCGTGTATTTTTTCCTTCCTTTTAAAAAATCAGGTTCCAAGTAAGTCTGTTTGTGGGGTTGGAGCACATCTGACGGTGCTCAGGGGGATCATATGTGGTACCAGGACTGGGCCCCCAGATCGGCTGTGTGCAAGGCAGCACCCAACCCGGTGGACTCTCTGGCCAGCCCCCAGATCCACCTCCTGAGTTCAATTTCCTGAGTTCAATTTTCAACCAAATGTGCATCGCAAGCTGACCTCGGGGACTCTGTAAGGGCCTGGGGTCCGGGTCAGCAGTGTAGCACTTGGAGAGACTCTGGGCTTGGTCAGGAAGGGAAAGAAGGTCAGGAAGAAAGAAGAGAGAAATTGAGACAAAGGGAGAGAGAAAGACAGAAGTAAAGGATTTAGAGAAATAAAGATAAAGGGAGGGAGTGAAAGAGAAAGAAGGGAGGAAGCAAAGGAAGGAAGAGAGAACAAGAGAGAAGAGAAACAGCCCTGGGGTGTGGGCGTCCTGGTTCCTGGCTGTCCAGGGACCTGTCCTAAATCTGCACACGGACGGTGAAAAAGCGGCAATAAACCCTGTCCAAGGAGAGCATCAAGCCCTACATTCTCCCAGTAAATTAGAACAACGCGGCCAACACAGTGACGGCGGGATGCTGTGATTTGCCAGGATGCTGCAGCACCAGGCCCGTCTTCCCCGCCATGGGTTTCTTTGTGGCAGGCTGGGGTCAATTTTCTCTCTTACTGAGTCGTCTTGGACTGGGATGGCACGCTTTTCTCTCAGTAGCATATCGGCCACTGTGGATAAGGACAATATCCCATTTATTTTTGTGTTCCCTTCACTGCTGAGTAGGTATTGGGAACTAATAAACTCTGATGAAATCTAATTGCTCACTATGAATCCCTCAGGAAGAGTTACAAGCCACACGTAATCGCTTCTTGCATCTGTTGGTTGACAGAGCTGGGAGCCATGAAGACACAGCATGTCTCCGGGCTCTGCCGGGTCAGTCCCCACAGTGCGACTGGGCACTGTGTGGGTCTGGGAGACTGTGACGTCCCCACAGCCTGGGCCCCGCTACACCCCGCCTGCCCCTGAAAAGACTCAGGCCCGAGACAAGACAAACAGACCCGGTGCCAACGGACGCCTGCCTCCCACGCGGTGGGGACAGCTGCGCCCCAGTCCAGTGTAGAAACTGGACGCTCCTGAGATCAGTATGTTGAGTTTTAACGGGTCTTTGTCTCTCTCCTTCCCAAAGGGCCCGGTGCTACTGGGGAGACAACACGGCTGCGATGGAAGCCAAGAGAAACCGTCTCTCCCTCATTCTCTCCCTGGAAGGCCGTGGGCAGTCAGCATTCCCAGCGGCCCCTGGACACGCACTGGGCCGTTGTCCCACAGCTCACCTCCTGCCAACTCCCTCCAGCCTCCCCCCCGACCCGCCTCTGGTGAGGGTCCCCGGGCCACAGCCCCCCCCCCCCCCCGGGCATGACCCACCTGCAGGGGGGTCGGAGAGCTGGGTACCTGCGTCCTGCCCGCTGCTCAGGCCGGCCAGCAGGAGACAGACGACGGCCACGCGCTGCATGCTGTCCCGGAGCTCCTGCGGGCTGCTCGGCCGGCCCGGGGAGCACTCGGAGAAGGTGTGGGGACTGAGGAGGTCTGCCCATTCCTGCTGATTTCGGGGCTCAGATAAAGAACGGAGGAAACACACGCCGTCCCGGGGGAGCCGGGCAGAGGCAGTCATTGTTTCAGCCCCTTACAGGAACTGGTTTTTTCTCTTCCTTTGGCAGCCACTTGTGTTTTTGTTACTAAATTATTTTGTTCTTCAACAAAAAGGTCAGGAGAGTTTTGAACAGAAACAGCTCTTCCTAGAGGAGGGCACATGCAGCTTTTCAACTTTTGTTTTGAAAGTCCATATTGGATGCTGATAAAGGGGCTCATTAAGCAGAATCTCGGAGCTGAACGTCTAGAGAGACTCTCACAAGGAATCCACTCCTCCCTTCCAGCGGGGAAAACCAGGCTAACAAATATCATCTTCTGAGACGAAATACAAAATAGGAAATGTTAATGCACAGATTGCAACCCTCCTAACAAAGCCAAGAGACCTCTTCGAGATGGAGAGAAAGATATTCCAGGATACTCCCAATGGAAATAAGCAGACAAGGGAATGCTCGTGGAACATTCCTTGCTATCATTGGTGGAATTTGGTTGGAAAGAAAGAAAGAAAGAAAGAAAGAAAGAAAGAAAGAAAGAAAGAAAGAAAGAAGGGAGGGAGGGAGGGAGGGAGGGAGGGAGGGAGGGAGGGAGGGAAGAAAGAAGAAAGAAGGTAGGAAAGGAAGAAAGAAAGAAGAAAGGAAAGAAAGGAAGAAAGAAAGAGAGAAAGAAAGAAAGGGGAGAGAAGGAAGGAGAGAGAGAAAGAAAAAGAGAAAGAGTGAGAAAGAAAGAAAAAGAGAGAGAAAGAAAGAGAGAGAAAGAAAGAAAAAAGAAAGAAAGAAAGAAAGAAAGAAAGAAAGAAAGAAAGAAAGAGAAAGCACAGTGGCCCATCGAGGTGCTTCCCTTGGGTTGCCCTGAGCATGTCCGTGATGGTAGGACTGGGTTCATAGTAGCAGCTGGGTGAGGAAACCCCGGCTTCAGGGGAGTGTAGCTTTAGTGACATTAAGGGCTTGCCACAGGCCAGAACCCCCAGACCCTCCACACCTACCTGGCCAGAGAGACTGGCAGTGGGCAGAACCTTATGCCACAGCTACTCCTCTCTGGGCCTGGTCCCCGAACACATGCCCCAGGTCTCAGGGGTGCCCCCACCCCTCTCTGGGCGTGGGCCCTGGACACACACCCCAGGTCTTAGGGGAACCCCCCCACCCCTCTCTCCGCCTGGGCCCCGGACACAGCTGCACTGTCCCAGGCCTCAGGGGAGCCTCCGGGGTCCCACCTGCGTGGACCAAGGCCTAATTTGATCCTCTCAGTGAATTTTCTCAGTGAATTGCCTCTAGAGTTGTTGCTTTATTTGGCGTATCCTGGAGAGTACAAAGATAGCAATGTATGTGAATAGATGTCCCCAGGACTTTCCAGAAATAAGTCAGGGAGTGGCGGGAAGCCTGTGAAGCTTCCCTTCCTGCCCTCACTACGCTGGACCCCGGCTCCAAGCACACAGGCCCACCCTGAGGCCCACCATCCTCCGTGCCAAGGGGCTCAGCAATGTTCTAGAAGCCTCCGCCCTGCTGGGGCCGAATGCAAAGCCCACACCTTATCCCCTGTGCCCTTAGCCTCAGGAAGGCATCTTAAGGTAAAAGAACTTACTGAAGCAGTGATGGTTACCAGAAGAGAGATCAATGGCATAAAACGGTATAAAAGTAAAAGTATCTATATTTACCGACTGCTCGGAGAGCCGGGCAAGCTACCGAGAGTATTCGATATGCCAAACACAGTAACAACAAAGTCTCCAATGGAGACGTTACTGGGCCCGCTCCAGCAAATCGACGATCAACGGGAGGGCCTTTACCTTTACCTTTACCTGTATTGGAGGCTCTTTCAGGGTCAGGGAAATGAGACCCATTATTGTTACTGTTTTTGGTATATCGAATATGCCAGGAGTAGCTTGCCAGGCTCTGCCATGTGGGCGGGATACTCTCGGTAGACACACACACACACACATTTGCAGAAGTTTGGTTAGATTAGATATAAGTGAATTTAGCAAATAGGAAATGTGATAAGCAGGGTATATTATTAAATGATTTTTAAAAACTTTTTTATTGAATCGCTGTGATATTAATCATTACAAAGCTATTCATGATTGGATTTCAGTCATACAGTGTACCAACACTCATCCCTCCACCAGTGCAAATTTCCCACCACCACGGATCCCAGTATCCCTCCCATAATCCCTCTGTCCCTGCCTCTGGCAGATACTTTTCTTCTCTCTCTCTCTCTCTCTCTCTCTCTCTCTCTCTCTCTCTCTCTCTCTCTCTCTCTCCCCCCTTTTGGGCATTGTGGTTTGCAATATTGATACTGACTGAAAGGTTATCAAGAATATCCCTTTACCTACTTTTAACCTTCAGATCTTGTCCAGCGTGATCATTAAATGATGTCTTTTTTGATAGGATGTTGATCATGTTTTAAAAATTAAAGTTAGCTATATCCTCCCCAGCACCTCTCTGAGAAGCACTGGTCTCGACTTTCTGTACCCCAGAGAACAGAGCAGACATCTCCCATGTTTTGCAGTTTGCTTAGAAGATCACTGCACCTCAGTGAGAGGATTCTACCCAAACTGTATTCTTTTGTCTCCAAATAATACTTCTGTTGCTGCAAATGAACTTGAAAAGTCCACTCTCCACAGGCCTCTAGTGGTGGCCACTTGTCTGTTCCAAGAACATATTTCGGCTTCTGTGCATTCCTGAGCAGCCGTGTTTAACCCTAAGATACATTTCAAATCCACACAGAGGAAAAAACCTGGATCTCACTGAGAGAACATAGGGAAGATTCTCCCTGCCCAGGCGGACAGCTCAGTCACAGGAGGGAGTGGCTGGCCTGGGTGGGTCGGGAAGGAGCTCAGGGAAGTCCCTTAGCCGGAAGTGTGTGACTCACGGCTGCCTGAGGAGGCCTCCTCTCTGGTCCCACACTGGCCTCTGGAGCCCCGGAGGGCAGGGGTTGGGTTGGGGCTAGCCTCTGACCTTCCCAGCTTCCCCCAAACTGCTCAGGACCCCCGGGACTGCGGTGAGTGAGCTAAGGCTCAGGTGACAACAGTCCCGCTGGAGAAGCCTCGGGACAAGAGCTTCAGCAATATGCGAGCTCAGATGAACCCTCCCTAGAGCCAAGCACAATGCAGCTCGTAAAGATCAACCATCATTTATTTGGTGTCCCCTTCTCTATCTGAGCTCCCTTTTCCCCTAGCATGTGTGGTTGGCCTCCAAGCCATGGAGTAAAATTCCTGGTACTAATCTCGGCCCTCCCGTTGATCGTCGATTTGCTCGAGCGGACCCAGTAACGTCTCCATTGGAGACTTTGTTGTTACTGTGTCTGGCATATCGAATACTCTCAGTAGCTTGCCGGGCTCTCCGAGAGGGGCGGAGGAATCGAACTCGGGTCGGCCATGTTGGCCGCGTGTAAGGCGAACGCCCTACCCGCTGTGCTATCGCTCCGGCCAGGATGGGAGAAGCATGCTGAAAGTAGACTATAGACCAAACATGATTGTCACCCATTGCCTCTTTCGCAAATCACGACGCCCAATAAGAGAGAGAGAACAAAAGGGAATGCCCTGCCACAGAGGCAGGGTAGGATGGGGAGGATGGGGAGGATGGGGGGTGGGAGGGATACTGGGATCCGTGGTGGTGGGAAATGGGCACTGGTGGAAGGATGAGTATTTGATCATTGTATAATTGAAACCCAAGCACAAACATTTGTAAGTCTACAACTGTACCTCATGATGTCTCACTAATAAAAATTTTAAAAAAAAGATCAATCATCATTTATTTGTTCAAAATGTCTTTTGAGAGTTAGGGTCCCAGCCCCTGTTTGGAGACTAGCCATAAGACTCTGTATGGAGAGTACTTGCCCCAAGGGGGTCTCAGGCATAGGGAAAATATTAATTGCAGATGAATGTTTTGGTTACTTTGCTGTATTGATCTTCTTGAGCTGCCATAGAAAAATATGACAGATTCACAGCTCAAATTTACTTTTGCAGTTCTGGAAACGGGAAGTACAAGGCCCGAGCTGTTGCTGAGAACACCTTGGCTGTGTGCAGAGAAGAGTGTTTCTCGTGAGTGTCGGGAGAGTGCTGTGTTGCTCCTGCACTGACCCACGGCAGGCTCGGGGGTCTGAACTCAGCTGAACCACATCCCCCTCTAAAGCACCACCCGGAGTCATCATGTGGGTCGTAACATTCAGGGACGGGGCAGAACTCACCCCGTAGCACACAGAAGTATAAAAGCATAGTTAGAAGTCACTGTAACACTTTCATCCCGTTGTTTGTCGATTTACTCGAGTGGGCACCAGTAACATCTCTATTCCTCCCAGCCCTGAGACTTTAGCAGCTCCTCTGTACTCGTCTTTTCCCAACCATTGGAGGTTCTCTCAGGGTCAGGGGAATGAGACCTGTTGTCGTTACTGGTTTGGGCATATTGAATATACCACGGGGAGCTTGCCAGGCTCTGCCTGTGTCGGCAGGATACTCTTAGTAGCTTGCTGGGCTCTCTGAGAGGCATATATTTATATATTTCTCTCTATGATTTGTTGCCTACTGTCTGAATCCCATCAAATATGGTGTGGTAATTATGGAAAATGGGTAGGAAGTGTCTTATAATGTGTCAGTCCAGAAAGCATCCTGGATTGTGGTGGTGGTTGGGTAATGGAGGTCAGCTGCCCGGGCTGGGTTCCTTGGGGTGGGGAGAGCTCCCACCCACCCCACTCCGGGGCACCCCAAGTGAAAAATGCTGGTTGGGGAGTTCGGTGGCATGGTTTTGGAGGCCTCATTTTATACTCCTGAGTGTGGAGTCCCATAGTTAGTTAGAAATATTTACTCAAGTTATCGAGTTATTGAAAAAACAAAAAAAGTTATCAAGTTATTGAAGTTAAGAGTTGTAAGAGAAATTTAGATGTGATGAATATATACAGCAAGGGAATGGG